TTTAACTGATATAATAAAACCTCATGTGAATGAAAGTCCTGAGTAACCAAGAGACCAGTGTTTTCGAAGCTGTAATCTCAAAGTATGAGAGGTTTGGGAGTAAAACTGAGGTTCTAGAGTTTTCTGCTGTTTTTAATTTTTTTTTCAATCTTTGTGATGATATAATGATATTGCCTAGAGCATTATTTAAGATTTGAAAACCTGAGTTAGCTTTTATTTCACAAATTGTTTTGGCACTGAGTAGTATTAATTTATTTTTTTTTCATTAAAATGAGAAAAGAACTAAGATGAACTTAATTTATTTGTCATTTGTTTATTTATCTATCCATTCAACAGATACTGATTGCCTTTTATGAGGGATGAATTTGTACATGACACATAGGTACCGATTAAAAAACCAAGTGTTAAAAAAGAAAAGGAAAGAAAGGGTTTGTACAAATAAAGACAAGTAGGTTATGTAGTGTTTTGGACACATACAAGTGGTTGGGGAGAACAAATATACTCAGGGCACAAAGGAATGATGTTCTCTATCAAATGCAACTACATACTTACTGAACACGCATAGCTTACAAAGTTGAAGTTATTGAGTGAATGCAGGGCTGGCACTGCAGTTGATCATGGACAATTCTCTCCAAACACCTTCAATACTCTGTGTACATTTTCCTCAAAGTGTTTTTAAAGTAGTAATTACAATGAAAATATTTAGTTAATTTTAATCAGCAGTATGAATGCCATTGCTTAGGTGCCCAAGCAAACAAAAAATATGTTTGGCAAAATAGCATAATGGATAGAAGCACGGAATTTAAAATGATGCAAACATAAGCTCATGTTTTGATTCTATTACTTTGCTGGCTGTGTAATTGAACACAAAATTTCTGAACTTCAATATTTTTATATCTTAAGTTAGCATAAAAATAGTACCCAATTCATAAAATTATGTGGATAAATACATGGGAAATGCTTAGTTGAGCTTCTGGCATACAGTAGGGGTTTCAGGTTTGTTATTGTTTTTAAGGCATGATATATGTCACACTAATAAAAATGTTAGCATTTTAAATCTTCTCATTAAAATTCTGTCCAAAATGGAATAGCGTATTGACTTAAAACCATCAGAGACTTGAAACAAAAAGTTTAACCTTTGGCTCATCTCTTCTCACGCCCATGCGGCCTCTCCGTGGCCTTCTTATTACTTTAGTGGTTCTGTAGTCAGACTGGCTGTCCACGAGGGATCCAACGGAATAGCGCAACTCAGCTGAGGGGTCCAGGTGAGTCCTGGAAGAAATGAAAAATATGAAATAGAGTCAATCGCCAAAGGTAAACTTATCAGCAAATCACTATCCACTTCTTAATTGGCAATAAAGCCTCAAGGAAATAAACTTCAAGAAAGAAAACTGATGAATTGTCCTGACGCTCTGAGGTCCCTCCGGAGGCTTATGTCAGAAATTCTGGCCTCGCGTTCCTTCCTGAAGGTCGACTGCATTTTCTCTTTTTAGAATATGAAAAGCCTGTCCGTTCATTAATTGTTATTTTCAAATGTGGTGGGACAACAAAACATGTTGAGATCGCCAGCCAGGACCCTGAGGCTTAAATTCTGGCGATTCTATATTTAGTTTGAGCTGTTTACTGGACATCCCAATATATGCTATCTGTCACTGTATTTATTTTAAGCACTTCTCATTAATATAACAGAAAAAAGTAAACTTTTGGGGTCCCAGAATTCTCTGTTTTTTAACATTCTATTTTTCAACTTAGAAAATCAACAAAAAAATGCTTAAAATCAGATTGACCCAAGGTTAAAGTTGTTTTGTAATAAAATAGGATATACCACCCAAATAAATTTTTTAGCTTTTAATAAGACTAAAATTCATTAAAAATAAAGAGAAATATTTTGATGAGCACATCTGATTTTGAAATCTACTTACAGATGAAACAGTTGGAAGATTCCAATTGGAAAATATTGGCACACTGTTCTTCAATAAGCATGATAATAAAGTACCTTCTAATTAAGTGCAGTAAAAGTTTCTCCATGAACATTATTTATGTGGAGATTTACAGCAAATTCAGTTTATTACTATAATAATAATGATAATAGTGGCAACATGCTGTCCTACAAAATGATTGATTATCAGTAGCAAATATACTTAAAGCTCTGTTACTCTGGAACTTGGGACTCTTGCTGATCTATGTTTTTGCCCCTAGGTCTCTTTGTGAATGGAGCATTGTCAAATATTTGGCCAGATTAGATAAAAGAGGTTAGGTGAAGTCTGAGTGTGTATAACATTAGAAGATACTGACCAGACTGATGCAAGCCCCTGTTTTGCCAAATAGGACGTTAAAGCAAATGAATTAAGGAATCATCCCCAAAATAGAGGACAGAGATTGTTTTTTACAGCTGTGAATGTGAGACTTAAGCAAATTATATTTCTATTGTGGGTTAATCATATATAAAAACTAACCAAGAAGGCCATGGTTGTAAATGGTACAATTCTTAGTATTTATGTATTTGAGAGACAAATACATTTTCATCACCATTATATGCTCAAGGATTTATTAAATACTAATAAATGTCTGGTAAGATAATGAAGGAAATTTTGGTTATAATACATTCAAAAACAGTACAGAACATTCTATGTGCCTTTTGCCTGTGGT